ACTTAATAGTCTAAAAGTCTAATTAAAACCTGACAATTATCTTGACGAAAGGAATTCATATTTTGTACTTACATCCAGTACATACTCCTGAATTATAGCATGTATGATTATTGCTACAAGCATGTAAAAGAAAATCGTAGCCAAGTCTTTGATGCCATAGTGATAGAGAGAGATTGTTTCTGCAGATTGTTCTTCTAGAAGACAAACAGAATTAACCGTTAGGCACAGATACAGTTTAGTGGCCACTAAGCTTGTTTCTCAAAGTGAAGCCTCTCAGACATAAGTAGTTTGTAGCCAGCTGAACAAATAGAAGCCAGATTAAACTGAGCTAGGTCACTGGATTGTTTACAGTCATCTTCTCTGTCACGTCACAAACTAAATTGGATTCTGGAAAGATGTACTAGAAAAACAAAAACTTCAGCGCACTTAGGAAGCTTACCCAAATGCATTGAAAGGGGACTATAAAATTATGTTGAACAACCACCCTGCTTTGACTAGTAAGGACTGTCACTTGCAAAACCAGAGTAAGAATTAACGTGAACTTGTCAGATGGTGGTTTAGCACTGATGATGAATCCAGCAGAAAAAAACCACTGTCCCTAACCTGATGAATCAAAATGGAGTTTTCTAAGAATAAGTGGAATCCTTGAAAATTGCTTATTATCTGTTCAAATTGACAAATTCATTTACACTCAGTCTAGAAAGTAAGGCATACTAACAGTGTCTGAATAGGCTGCCTCATAACTGACCTCCAGCAAGATACGTACCCGTGGCAGGAATGGTAACATTATACTGAAGTGTAACAAAAATGACAGCTGCTTTTGCAGTAATCTGAAAGAGAAAAAACAAAAGTGTTATCAATTCTCACTGAAATAAAACTAAAGCAAAAACATTTGCCCATAGTTTTAGCACCCTTCCCCAGCACGTTTGTCCCCTCCCACAAAACCGATCAACTCACCTTATCACACCACTTCACCTGGCTCTCCAAAGGCAGAACACATTGCCTGATCTCTGTCAGCTTGTTTATAGAATACCCAATCTCCTAAATGAAACGCCCTTGACAATTCCACTTACAAATAGTCTTTCCTACCACATTAAAATGAAAACACACGCTGCAATTCTCTCTCCAGTCCATACTGTATTATTACATTAACAGAATGGACAGTATCATGTGATCCCTGCACCACGATGCATGCAGCAACGGCTGAGAATAAACATTTTAAACTACCTTTTAATTTGTCAAAATGTGAAGGCCAATATCATATTCATAAACCGGTGCGTGATTTGGAAAATGTGGACAGGAAAGGAGAAAAGGCATAAAGAACGGAGAACCATTTCAGACCAGCTGCATACCAACCCAATACCATCAGCATTCTTTTGACCCTGGGGATCCTTTGGCAAGAAGTGCAAAACAAAATAAATGAATTTTAGCAGTAGTGGTACTACCCCTTTATGATGGACAGCAAGAAAAAGCAGAGTGAATAAAGGGGGGGGAGGGAGAATTAGTTTTAAAGGCTTTTTTTGGGGGGTGGGGGTGATCCTATAAAACCCCCAATAAATAAGCAGGAGCACAAGTTCTTACCTGTCAATAAGAATAAATTAGTTTTTAACTTTAACACATCTTTATTGAATCCCAACATAAATCAACCACAGAGAGGGGGAAAAAAAAACCCCCATGCTTTACAGTATTTATGATCTGATTGCTTCTCATTGCTGTAAAAACCTAGCATCCTCATTGCATTTATAGCACCAACAAAAAACCCAAAACCACACAACAAAAAAACCCCCAAAGAACAAACTCTGTTACAACTCCTGGAAGGATACTTCAAATGATTTGAAGGTAATGATTAGGCTACTACCAGCATTTATTACCATTCACAAGAAATAAGATTTATTTATTTTTAAAACTAGCGCTTTGTAAACGAGCCCTCGATTTTCTAGGAACCCCTGAATACAGAGCGGACCATTCACTCCATGTAACTTCAGGGAACCCAACCAGTTTGCCCAAATTAGCGAAGTTGCCTAGGGCGGCCCTTTTCATCAAGGGAGCCTTCAGAGGACAATTCAAAACATGAGTCAATTCCGAACTTTCCTTTGAAGGCCCTGTCAACTACTCCAAAGTCCCAATTCAGCTGCAGAAGCCAGGCCGTACGAACGCCTTACCCTACCAACATTAACCACAGCGGGTGATTTCCAAGACCTGTACCAAAGCATTTAAAAAAAATTGCCACAACCCCAGCCATACCACACCTGTACCACCACAGGGGCATATGGCCCTTCTATGCCGGGGTAGAAAACACCCTGGATGAAAAACAAAAAAA